TACAGGCAGCCTGCTATCAGAAGAGACCACCCAACTCTTCTTTACAGATCTATACAAATCAATAAACAGTAAATGAAGATCAATATTGCTTTTACATTACTTTAGAACCCTCACAACAAAACTGGCTTCTGGGTGCCTGTTTGAACCCAGGCAGCAAAGCACACCACAATCACTGTCATCTCTTCTGCTGTGCATCCTCCTACAATCGTTTAGCAAAGAAATCCTAGTGGGCCTGAAGATCACATACATCTCATAATGTCGTCCATGGGCCCCAACTAACATTCACTTCCCATCACTGCAGTTCCTATTTCAATTTTTTGACAAGCAACCACAAGCCACAGCTGAATATGGCTCACACATGGGAGCTGAGGTACACCACCCTGAAGGCACAGCTGCCCACCCACCTCATTGATCTGTGTCACCTAGAAGCTGCAGGCAGCAAAGCAAAGTCCTTTCAAAGCGTGCTGCATAGAGAAATGCAATAAGATTTCTTCGTCCATGCTTACTATCATAAGAAATGCTGGGATCATCTTACAGGAAAGGGAGCTGGAGGGGGGGCATTGGGAAGGGTTCCCTCTGGCAGGCAGTTCAGCTCCTGGACAGACTGTCCAGGAACATTTTAGGATCTCCACTACAGTCTGACTGGGAGAAGTCAGAGAAATATCACCCAGATACAGCTGAAGGGCAGCTGATCCTGCCTGGGACTGAAGGGTGAACAAAATGATTTATTGAGGTCCAGTCTTTTACGGCAGGTTTAAACATGAATACTGGAGTATACATTCCTAGGTAATGTTTTTGACACTGTGCTTATTTCCATTGTTTCAGGCAAAACTGTCACATTAAATGTTGGGGTTTTCTCCACATTGACCTGATGGGAATGTCAGAATGTATCAACATTTCATTATTACATTTAAAATAATTTCTAATATTTCATTGCCCTCTGCATTCCCTGTTTTGCCAGCAGAATGTTACCAATTTGTGTTAATCCTGCCAAACAGAAACCAACCACCCAAGCTATTTTTTAAGGACTAGGACCACCTTATCACTGACAATACACACCTGAAAAAAATCCTTTCACCCCAAATGCAGCTGCCACCTTGCAAAACCCAAGTCCCATTTTGTTGTTTGCAGAATATTCCTTTCTTGCCACTTTGTCAGATTGTTCTTTCAATACAGTTCTCCAGCTCACCCCAAGCATATCCCAAGTCCACTAAGAAATAAAGAAAGAACATATCATTTCACCTGAAACTTCTTTAAAGATGTTCCACTCTGATTTGCTGTTATCAGCTCTGCTCTGCTAAGGTTGCCTTCTCACCGTCAGCTTCCAGAGGACCCTGAAGCATGATCTCTGCAAGGCAGCGAGGCTCACACAGCTGCTGGCCATTTATCATGCAAGATTCTGGTCCAGGAAGCATCTGAGAACCGTGACGAGCCATAACAGATTTGTCACTGTGTGCCTAGGGATTCCAAACCCTGCATTGTTTTGCTCAATTAGGACTCATTATCAGACATACAAAATTCACCTTTGCAGGAGGAAAAACATCAGCTCACAGAAGACTTTAGTATTTCTGCTCTCTGTTACAGAATCTGCTGTGTAATGATGCACACTGGTTTTGGAGCAAGAAGCTCTGGAAGAGAATTCTCAGCAGAACTTGAAAAGGAGGTGACAGAAAGGGGAAGTAAACTTTGAGGTACCCCTCCAGTTTTTTCATAGGAATACGTACACAGAATATGTACCCTCGCTCACATATCTGAGCTATTCTTTAAAATGAATGACAACCAAAGCCAAACTCCCTCTGCTCATCTGAACTGCTGGGTGGGAATTCCCAGCATGTTGCAGGATCCCTCATCTGCCAGTTTGTTTTCAACACGGCCCTGCCACAGAATTTGGACAAATACTGTAGCACGCTAGGAAAGAAGTACGAAATAAGAAGCTAGTTATTTCTAGAAGGTCTAGAGATGAGCTTTAAAGTATTTCATAGCATTCTTTTTATTAAAACTCCTTGTTACTAGAGCTGCTAAGTAAATAAAAGGACAAGGTTAAATGAATCAGCCAACAGAACCTGAAATAAATGTAAGTTTTGGTAATATATACCAAATATCTTGGTCTTCATGAGGGTTTGCTGGAGAGTAATTTCAAGAATGGCTTCTTCCTTTCCTTTAACCTGGGTCTCATTAGTCATGTTCCAAGGCAACAGGTTTCCATGACAGCAAACATTAAGTATCCTGCAGCACAGCCCTTTGTTCCTGCTCTGAACACTAAGCTTTCACTGCTACACCTCAACCTAGACCCGCTAACTTCATGAAAAAACATCCTGAATAATCCTAACAGATACCTGAGTCAACAACCGTATTTCGTTTCTACTATGACCTTGCAAAGGACCATGCCCTTCACTGAATTCCATAGGAATGTCGTCACATTCTCCAAAAGGATGCTTTTACCTGCTCTGAGCTCACCAGTTCTTGGCAGCTATTTAAAACAAAAAAAATATATCTTTATGTAAAATAATGATGCAGAGTCCCTGCTCATAACGTTAATGAAAATCCCACCAGTGACTGTCTGCACAATTGAGACCTCTGCTTGTAGACATTTTACACACGGTGAAAGCAACATTCCCCTCTCACACAGAAGCTGTGCTAACAAAAGCATATCAAACACATTTTTAGTGGAGTAGAACATCATTAACTAGCACAGGTAGGAGTTTTCTCTCTTTAGGATATGCATCAAGTCTTGTTATTTTGATGGGACTGTTGATTTAATGTCTCTAGGTATCTTTGAAAGCCTCACTCACACTGTTAAACTCGTCTAATCCTTCCTTATAAACCAATTCCTCCTGACCCCTAAAGTACCATTACTGCATGCTGTATTACTCCAATGCAGCACAGTGTTAATCAGAGGGTAAAAACAGCAAACAAACATGTAACCTATTGGAAGGAATGTGAAGTAAATGAAAGACTCTGTTCACAGATACAGCATTATTCTGCCAACAAAAATATAGACACAGAATCGTATCTAAACTTCAAAATAAGTCTCCTACAGGTTTCTGAAAACAAAGTTTTTCTTTTAGTAGTAGGAGGAAAAGAAAGGGTTTTGAAGATTCACTTTCAATGGCTTTTTGTTAAACAAAGGCTGATAAGAGATAACCAAAATGCCAGTTGCCCTTGAGTTATTTTTGAGAGCTGACGCCTTTCAATAAGCAACAGCAATTAGAAACGTACAATGAAAAAAGTAACAGAAATGCAAAGAACTCATGAATCCTGTGAGATCCTGACACTCCTGCTCCTATCTCATGATGATTTGTCATACTCTGTAACATTCCTTCTGCCATTATTGCACTTCTTTTTATCTGAGTCTCTCTTCAATTGTCAGGATATGTTCAAAGATGTCACAACTCACGAATTGCAATTAGTTGCATGACAGAGAACCAGTCCTGTCACAACTGGTAAGTAGTAAGATCACACTAAGGATCCTCCAGGCTGAGATGTTTACAAGAAAATGAAAAAGCTTTCTCTGAAATGCAGCTGGCAAAAGCAAGAACGGGAATCTAGGCTAACAAGACCATGATTAAAGGTTATTTTAGTAAATGCTATTTTGCAAAGTAGGACGTGCTTGAAATTTGTCAGCAAGGTAAGAGTTTAGATAACTGCAAAAGTTGTTAGTGAACTTGGGAAAACTGTTAAGGAATCTTTTTTTATATATATAATAATTTTTTTATATAATAATTTCACTAAGTAATAAGCTCAGAAAGCTACTGAGCGTGTCCCAGGACAGTCAGATTGAAAAGGGAAACATCAGTAGCAGACAGATGAAATGGGTGGCAACACTTCAAAGAGAACATACAGAATGGCCTGCATTAAGAAAAATCAACTGAGATAGAAGGAAACGTGAAAGTTTCTGATGAACTGTACTCCAGAGTGCACTGGTCATTGCACAGTTCTGTGGATGGCAACCAAGTTCCATAAAGACAGAAGCACAGACGTATTGACAGTGATGTACAGCAATCTGACAATAACTGAGCTTCATCTGGGCCTTTTCTTTTTGAAGAAGGAACATACTAAGTGAGAGTTGGGTTGATCTGAATGCTCCAGTAGCATTGCTTAGGTGAGTGACCCCTTTTCTCACTGGAGGCTGTAAAAAATATGAATACAAGCTTTGTGTTCATCTATTTCTTTCTCGTAGGGTATTATTCATATGAAATAAAAGAGAAAGAAATCCTACTGCTCTTTTTAAAATGACTGAACAGACACGTTATACCAATAAGACTTTTTGGAAATTCTATTTTGATATACTCGAAAACTCAGTAAATTTAACAGTTATAAGAGTATGAATCACAGTTTGGCTCAAGAAAAGAGTAAAGTAAATGAAACTACCAATGATTTCATAGAACAGAAGACACTTATAAAAGTAAAGAGCTAGGTTTGGAAAGAGCACATACAAAACCACAGTAAGTATTTCTTCATCAATTAAACACTCTAAACTTCAATTTAAATCAGAAGAAAATAATATACAACTCCTACAATTTCATTAATTTACTATTAAAAAATATGCATCTTCAGAGCTATTAAAAGCCCTTCAGCAATTTCACTACTTTTTCAAAGCTGAAAGTATGTCTTTGACATCAACACAGAGAAAACAGATGGATAAAGTAATTATAAAAGGTGCAGCATGATGCTATGAACCAACTTACCACAGCTTCACTAAGAGACAAGACACAAAAAGAAAAGTGAGCTGACAACTTGCATAGCTACTATGTTGTGCCAAAGTGTTCCCACTCACCAATAATGGAGAAAAAAGCTCCCTAGGAAGATACAAACAGACTGGGAAGGAAGGTACAACGAAAAACATTGAATAACCATGCAATAACCACGCACATTTAAAGATTAGAAAAATCCCTGAAGGAAAACACTGACTGTACATTCTAGACATCCAAGAAAATAAATGATGAAGAGTAATGCAAATCAATGCTTGGATCATTCAGGCATGTTTTCTGATAACTTACCCGAGTTCTGTGTAAGGCGATCTCATGACTCGACAGAATCAAAATATCTAACTGCAAGTAATAGGGTAAGATAAAGAGAATTTCTCTCAGCTTTGAAGTCTTTTAAAAACAAAATTAATCTCTGCAAGGATGCCAGGTCAAACAGTTTATAGAGTTCAAACTGCACTGACAGCAAGATAGGCAAGTTTACCCACCTGGTTCCCTGCATACACATTTGCAACATTTTATAACTCCAGTGTGTTGTAACACATAATAGAGCATACAGCCCAACCCATTCTTCTCCTGTTTTTCTCATTTTCCATTTGTGGAGCTTATGAAGTTATAAAAGGTAAATTAAATTGTTCAGCCTTCAGAAAAAAAGCCCACGTTCAACTACTAGAAAGCCAGTTCATCCTATTAGGTGTCAGAATTGGGGAATGGAAAACTCTCTTGACAAAGACAGTTATTGGTGGAAACCTAATTAAAAGATACATGAGATCCTTGACCCCCCACAGATCACAGAATCACAGAATCACCCGGGTTGGAAGGGACCTCAAGGATCATGTAGTTCCAACCCCCCTGCCTGGCAGGGCCACCAAACATACACATTCAGATCAGGTTGCCCAGGACCCCGTCCAACCTGGCCTTGAAATCCCCCCAAATCCTCAAAACTATTTTCTCCTCTTCAGAATATCTCCTGTTGTCAAGCTGTGATGTTTCCAACAGCTGTAGCCTTTCTCCAGGACCAGAGGATTCAGGAAGACAGAAACAGGCCACCTGCAGTGGCAAAAAGGATTCGTGAAACCTGGAAAAAGTCAGTCTCGAGTCAGAACAGTCTTCTGGATCAAACAGCAGCGCAGACTGTGCTCTAACAGCAGCTGGACAACTGCCATACGGGCAGAGTGGAGCACAAGACAGAAGGAAGATAGCATAACTAAAAGAAAGTGGGTGGACCAAAGAGAAATAAGTTTCTTCTTACACTAGCTGGGTTAATCTTTCCAAAACAGACTTATTAAATCAGAGCCCACAACAATATGTCTTTTAGAAAAAACTTATTATTACGGCAGAATAATCATGACATTCAAAACAACTGACATTTGTACAAAAGTAGAGTCATATGGTCAGCAGTGGACCAAAAGTAGTAGAAAGACCTCTTCCATGTACTGGTAGATGAACATTTTATGATGACAAAACCCGTAGCTAAAAGATGTGATACAAAACAAGTGTTCAGTCCAGCAAGGAAAAGAGAAACTAGAGCAAGGGTAAAAACAATTCTGAGAAACGCAGAGTAATGCAAATACAAAATTGTTAAACCCTGTGCTACATTAGCTGACCTTCATCTTGACAATTATACAAACAAACCCTTTTAGTTATTGGTTTTGTTTTTCCTCTGGCACATTGGGAAGCAATTTCAGCAAATGCATTTTGCAGGTGCATACAGCAGTTCTCTTTCCAGGTAGTTTTAACATTAAAATGCAGGTTTGTTCATGTACTCTTCCACCGTCTGGAGAAAAAAAGAAAGAAACAACTGACACATTATGGAGCAGTAGAGTAGTATAAAATCATTGAACCAAACCCTCATCTTACTTGAGGACAGTTGTAGTTTTGCATGGAATTAAACCAGATTAATGTAGATATCATGCTACTTTTAAAACATTAACAGCCTTTCAGAATCTGATCTTGAAATAACACATAACACAGCTGTGGCTAAACTCATCACGTCTAGGTAGCCACTGTGCCTAGCTTGTCTGGTTTCATATGCTAGTGCCAGCCCAATTTAAACAAAACTGGGAAACTCCCTACCCAGATCTACCAGCGCTGTTCCCTTCAGTACTCAGAAAAATGAAGTCAACACATTATATTCAATTTCTCCTACAATTGCTAGCTCAATGGTACATGTTACAGGAGAAAATTGCAGCAGTTTTGAATGAGTTTTACACATCTATGCCTCGTAAAAAAGCTATGCAGGTGTTTAAGAAAATGGAGTTTTCCAGCATATACTCTTTCCAATTTTAAACATTAATTGTAGGTCATTTGTTTCCAATGCATCAGTGAAACAGAGTGGATTTTTCTGTACCGACATATACACACCTAGACATGAATATCATCTTAGATGACTTACATATATGATTAAATAACTTAGGTACATATCATCTATTTAAAAAAAATGATAGCATTTAAATTGCAAGAATGCTGAAAAGCTTAAAGCTTCTGAAACTGCTACATTAATTGCATTGTTATTAGACTATTAAAATTGAACTTAAGATACATTGGGCCAGTTATGTACCGGTAGCACTTAGCTATATTTTAAACTCCTATCCAACAAAGAAGATGTAGGAAGATGAAGTGCTTGCCTTTAATCTTCTTCAGCCTTACCTCCTGCAACATGTCAGAGTCTTCTATGGCTTTCACTGCAGACCTCTTTGAAGTGTCTTGTACTTCTCCACCAATTATAAACTCATCAAGAATAAAATAAGCTTTTTCAAAGTTGAAGATAATATCCAGCTCACACACCTGGCAGAAAAAAAAAAACATTCCACATCTAAATTATTTTAACAGCATTCTAAGCATTACTGGACCAAAACAATTTTAAATGGTCAGGAGTATTCAATACATGCCCTTTTGTGTCAGGTAGCTAGGTGAAGGGTACTGCATCTTATTGCAGCTTCTGTGTATAGCAAGGATATTCCAGTTACTATACTTTGTATAACGCACTACCTACATGCTGGGTTTCAGAGAACAAAGCTGACGCTTTGCCTTACTAGTAAGGCCCACTAGCCTTACAAAAGGCCTTCTACAGAACATGTAATATGGGTTACATATGCTCACACACTTTCACAGGAGACAAACCCCCTGTCCCAGTGACCTTACAGTCACCAACTGTTTCTTTGTTTGTTTGTTTTTGACACAGTACAAATGTGAGTCAAGGCACAGTGATTTAGGTAAGAGACAAATTAAAGTAGTAGGAACAATTTTAAAAAGTATTCATAGAAAAGGCAGGTCATTTATACTTCTTGAAGACTTTTTCAAATACAAATTTCTATCCATTTTTAGGTCTTTTCTTTGGAAAAAAAAAAAAAAAAAAAAAAAAAAACAAAAAAAAACCCAACCCAAAAAGCTACTCCACTTTATTCTTCTCATCTTATCCATTATTATGGAACCACTCACTGTTTTTATAACTGAAGATAAAGGAAGGAGAATTAAAACTACCAGTTTTGTTATTTTTTTTTAAAACACTTTTTCTCAAGCTTCCCCCTTAAAATTCTATTCCCAGAAAAACATACAAAGTATCAATATTAACTTTGTTTGGGGAGAAAGGATGTAAAATTGATCTTGTGTTATTTTCAGCACTATTTTATGAAATACACTAATTATTAATTTCCCTCTGGACTGAGGAAGAGTGTGGGGCAATTAGTGTAGAAACACAAAACAAAGCAGTTATTGATGTCTGTTTATCAGTCAGCCAGAAACACAATTCATGCTGGAGAGTGAAACTTACATTTCCAAAGTATCTGTCCAGGAGTTCTACGTATCGATGAACAACCTCTAGCGTCAGGAGCTCGTTATCCTGGTCTTCTATTGCACAACAGAAATACAAACTAGCATATCTAGGAAAATGAAGACAAAAACACGAGAGTGAGCAGCTGCACACTCAGTGCTCTGCTCTCAGAAGTTACACAAGTGATAGTTAATGACTGCCTTGTTTCTAAAATAGTCATTTTCTTTCATCCTCACAGTGTCCTGGAGAACCCTGAAGATTTGACAAGTTAAACAAATCATTAATTTAGTTAGAAAAGCAAATTCCAACTCTTGTCAAAGCAGAATACCTATGATGCTGGTCTGAATAAAATGAACAGCAAGTCGGTAGTACCTTAGAGGTCTCCCTCACCTGCTGCAATAGCACTACAGTAAGTGGAGTTCATTAAACTATAGAATGTGTCACTGCTGTTTATTAACAAAATAAAAATATGTGAAAAAACGGAAGAGGAAGGTATTACATCTCACTAAGCCTGCTGGGTATCGAAGGACTGACTGCGTTTCATTTGGAGCCAGAAAACAAAAAACGAGTTAGCCCAATCAATCTTGTTACTTGCACCAAAACTTTTATTTAAATCAACCCAAGATGAGATTCTACCTCAACTCTCTGGTGCTGTGGCTGGAGCAGCTCTTATCAGACATTTACATTCAACACTTCACAGCAAGAAAAGCTATTTTTTATCTAATGGGAGACATCACTTAGTATGGTGTGCTGTACCTTCAACCTACTTCTGTTTACTACTTACCTCTTTGCAAGAACTAGAAGTCAGTTACTGCTTAGCTTTGTGTAACTGGGGGGCAATGATTTGTTTGGAAAAGGAAATGACAACTAACACTTTCCAACAAATATTTCAAAAATAAAATGAGACAAAGTGCTGAAAGTGCCTCAGAACTCTTCTTGTACCCTTTCTCAGAGTCTGATGAAGCCTAACTAACACAAGTCAGAAGACCACCCCAAAGAATGCCAAGGGGGAGCAAAGTCAAAAGCCTCCTCATAGAATTTCAACCACTTACACTTACTACATTTGTCTTATTTGACAAACACTGCAAATATTTTTTTTACCCCAGAATTTACCCTGCTTATTTATCCAGGGCTATTGTGCCATTAGACTCACAATGGCAGGTTCCCAACATCTTGCTCTTTAAAACAAAAACCAACAAACCCCAAGTGCTAAAGTGAGCCATTGTTTTCCCACTTGTAGCACATAATTTATACGAATAGTAATTATATGTTCTCATAAAATTACTCACACCTTTTGTAAACAAGCTTGAGGTCTTTCCAGTCAACAAAACTACTTGTTTTTTGATTGCGAGACAAAACAATCTGAACAATTTCTCGAACGATCTTTTTCTTCTCTTTCTCAGGTAGTGTCGTATACCATTTCTGAAGCCTTAATTTCCCCTGTCGACTGAACAGCAGTATAAAGTGTATCTAGAGCAAACAAAGTGACATGGTTAACGCTGGGGCACGGACTCAGCCCCAGGCAGTGCAGGAGGCATCCCTGTGCCTGCCAGGACCCCTCAGGGTCAGCACAGGTCTCCGACTGTCCTCTGATGGGGAGGACTGAGGACTGGCTGAGCATGGAAGCTGGGCCTCTTCCCCCCTGTCTCCTGTGCCATCCCTGGCAGACCTCCCCTCCCTGCATAACCTCTCCCACCGCGCTTCTTTACCATGTATGACTGATCACTGTGCTTTCTATTTTGCTACATCACCACCTTATGATAGTGAGAAGAGGGGCACAGCTCTTCCCCCAGCAAGATTACATGTTAGCAAAGGGGATGAAGATGTGTAACACAGCAGGGCTAGAGAGATCACAGATGCAGAGCATGGCATGAGAGGAGAACATAACACCTGGGTAGTGATGGCCCGTCACCAGGTTCTGATAGTGCACTAAGTGCTCTTACTGATCACTGCGTTCCTACAAGGAGCTACTAGGAGCAGAAGGAAGAAGCCAGCTACTTTGGGAAGGGAGCTGGACTAGATTTTTACAAAGAAATC